TGATGACCTTCCTCCACAGAGCACCCATTCTCTCCTGTGTCACTTTCCTCTTCTGGAGTATCCTTCATATGCTCTGGCACCGGCACAGTAGGCATGAATCCTGAAGAAGTTTTCTCTACAGGAAACCATTGCTCCACAGAGTGATGACCTTCCTCCACAGAGCACCCATTCTCTCCTGTGTCACTTTCCTCTTCTGGAGTATCCTTCATATGCTCTGGCACCGGCACAGTAGGCATGAATCCTGAAGAAGTTTTCTCTACAGGAAACCATTGCTCCACAGAGTGATGACCTTCCTCCACAGAGCACCCATTCTCTCCTGTGTCACTTTCCTCTTCTGGAGTATCCTTCATATGCTCTGGCACCGGCACAGTAGGCATGAATCCTGAAGAAGTTTTCTCTACAGGAAACCATTGCTCCACAGAGTGATGACCTTCCTCCACAGAGCACCCATTCTCTCCTGTGTCACTTTCCTCTTCTGGAGTATCCTTCATATGCTCTGGCACCGGCACAGTAGGCATGAATCCTGAAGAAGTTTTCTCTACAGGAAACCATTGCTCCACAGAGTGATGACCTTCCTCCACAGAGCACCCATTCTCTCCTGTGTCACTTTCCTCTTCTGGAGTATCCTTCATATGCTCTGGCACTGGCACCCTAGGCATGAATCCTGAAGAAGGTTTTTCTACAGGAAAGCCTTGCTCCATGGAGTGATGACCTTCCTCCACAGAGCACCCATTATCTCCTGTGTCACTTTCTTCTTCTAGAGAAATCTTCATGTGCTCTGGCTCTGGCACCATAGGCATGGATCCTGAAGAGCTTTTCTCTACAAGAAAGCCTTTCTCCTTGGAATGATGACCTTTCTCCACAGTGCCCACATTTTGTCCTGTGTTACTTTCCTCATCAGTGTAGCTGTCATGAAACTCAACACTCTCCACAGAACTAATTTTTGTCTCTGTGCTCACTTTCGTGGCAGAGTGCTGTCTCTTTTTCTTAGCAAGGTGGCCTGTCTCCCCAGAGTGATCTTTCCCTGCAGAGTGGATTCTCTTGGATGATGGGCCTTTCTCTGCAGGGTGAGTCTTTTTGAGAGAGCAACTTGTCTCCTCAAGTAGATGTTTCTCTGCACTGCAGCCTTTCTTTGGATGCCTGCCTATTCCTGTTGGGCGATTTTGCCCTGCAGTGGGTCCGCTATCTTCTGAGTCACCCCCCTCTGCAGTGCTGCTTTTCTCCTGGGGGTCACTTCTCCATATCGGGTGTTCTTTCCCTGTGGAAGATCTTTTCTCCACCGTGTAACTCCTTTCCAACAAGAGACCCTCCTCTGGAGGGAGGCTTCTGAGGTGGCGATCTCTCCCTGCAGGGATATCATCACCTGCAAAGGGTGTGCTCCTTGCCAAGTTGACGGTTTCGACTGAGCAACCTTCCTCTCCAAGGCGGGTTTTCTTGTTAGGGCAACCTCTGTGTGTAGGAATATCTTTCTCAGCTGAGAGATGCTTCTCAAATGAGCTACCTTTCTCCGAATCGCTATGTGTCTTCCCCGAAAGTTGTGTCTTGGACTGGTGTTTTTTCTCAGAGGCTCTTTCCCCTGTAGCAGAAGTTTCTTCTTTGCAATTGCTGTCGTGTAGCTGAAGCATCTCACCCAAGGGTGTCTTAACCAAAACATAGTACTTCCTAGCAATGTATCTTTTCTCTGCCATGTCATCCTTCTCAGTGGAGGGCTTTTTCTCTACCGTGCAGGTTGTCTCATCTGAGTGACCTCTCTCCACCGAAGGACCTTGTGTGGCTGCATGGCTCCGTGTTCTGCTTGCAATAGGTGACTGAAGACTTGTAGTCTCGGCTGACTTCTCTCCTGAGGAGGTATTTGTCCCCTTTGTGACATGCCTCTTACTTTGTGTCAACTTCACAAAGTCATCACCTTCAGCA